AACCAGGCAAGTCCCGTTGAGATCTCAGATCTCTTTTTCAAGGGAGGCCTGGGCCTGAAGGCAACATTTTGGACATGTTTGTGTGGGGTGGGGGTGGAAACCGGAGTACCTGGAGAAAACCCACGCAACAAATACGTAGACATAATAGTTCATAAAACGTAATAGAAAATAAAGAAAATTGACTGAGTTGAAAAATATGGCCCAGMGTTATCTACACACACYAGGAGAGACTAAATCCAAACTGTCGGCACTCCTAGACTCCAAGTGCACAACAAAATGTATTTAACGGCTAAAAAATTTGATTTTGCRTAACATTTCCTCTTGAAACTAAGGGATCCCAATTGTTTAAGCTAAATCATTCACAATATTTTTGGTAATCCCACAGACAAAGTGAAAAAGTACAGAACCTTGGCAGATTTAGAGATTATTTTCAGTCTTATGAGCAACTTTAGGTTTTTAAACACAACAGTGCTTCAGGTTGGTGAACCGTCATTAATAAATTGTTTAAGGTAATTTAGTATGGTGTCATGTTACTAAGCTTTAAAACAAACAAAATTACCTCCCTACAGCCTTCAATGAGTTGCTGAGTCAGTTGACAGTTGTTACTTTTCAAATCAACACAAAAAAAGTACAAATTAGCCCAAATGAGAGATCAACTTCAACATCACTTTAGTCAGAAACATTTTCCCTCCAGGCTTTACAAAATGAGCCTGGAGGGAAAATGTTTGTCTTACCTTTTACTCTTAAGGTTTCATTGTCAAACACTTTCTTTTTGTGAGAAAAAAAATAATATTGAGAGTGATGATGACAATGCCAAGCCTAATAAAAGTAATGGAGGTGATTATGACTGGGATTATTACTCAGTTGGCAATGGAAGCCATTATCTCTATTGCAGTTTAATTGCATATAACGCACTAAGAGCATGATTGAATCCAGACTGTTCATCAACCACRTTCAGCTGTTCCCTCCTCGACGTAATTGCACATTGTCTTTTTCCTGTTTTGCATAAAAAGCAAGTCATCAAAACGAGCGGCACAATTACCCAGACGCTCGCCTCCTCTCTCTGGGTGTCAGCAGCACCCCACAGGCAAACAGAGCCAGCACTGACTTCTGCATGTGTCGGTGCATTAGCGTCTCACTTGTAGGCTCAGAGATATGCCATGGACCCCCTTTATACACACACGTACACACACACATATACACGTTTTAAGTGTCTTTTCAAGTAGTTGCTTACATGCAAATCCAAAAGTAGCAGTTCAAAATTAGAGTCAGAAACTGTTGTGACTCTTGTGATTCAGGCACATACTGTACCTGTCATTAGACAGAAAGTTGTTTTACTGTTTCCCTGATAACTACTTCTTTYGTTTTTTACAGGTTAGCGATATCACTTACCTTATTTATAATTTAATAGTTTTTTCACAAACAGATAAGTCTTAGTAGAAAGTGTATACACGAAGRTGACTAATTTTAAATAGAATTTCATGTTTTCCTTTTGCTTTTTCATTWTCTAATTTCTTTTTTTGTCTTTTTATAGAATGTGTTTGAGATAACAAAAATAATAAAAGATTACCAAATACAATTTTATTCATTAAAAAAACATTTTGGAGTATAAAAAATCATCTTTCTGAATATTTTATGTAAAGAAAAGGAGCAAAAATACCAAATCTTCAATTATAGCTCTTTCTGCAAAGCACTCAGTAATCAAAAACACACCCATCAGATCATTGTGTTCTTCTGAGACAGTAGAAAGTGCTGATTTATCAAAGTTTACAGCATCTCTGGGACTCAGATGCAGTATATGCACTAGGGGTGCAACAGTACAGACAATTCACAATTCAGTTCAATTCTTTAGTCTCAAGCCCTTCAGTTTATTGAAATTAATTATGAACATTTGTTTAACCACAAAAGTACCGTTTTTTTAAATTAAATGCTGCTGAAACAGCAAGTTTCTCAGTGGATCTGCACAATGCAGCCTTGGTGGAGTAGTCGAACACAGATCCACCGATCCTTCAACAAAGAGCATCTTCAGAAGACAAGTTCATAAAAAATATCTGTATTGTTTGATACATACAGTAGTGTGTATTGAACCTAAAGCACTGTATTGAACAATTCGATACAGATACATGTATTGTTGCACSCCTAATATGCACATGGTGTGTTTTGGTGTTGTGGTGCAAAAAAAAAAAAAAGTTTTGTCACAAAATATTGCATGAATGTTGCAGGTTTGCTTCCCAGCAGAAAACATGAGCCGCTCAATGGTTTCTTTTTGGATAAAGGAAACCTGTATTTGTGATGCCTACAGTTGTGTTTCTTCTTACTTATTTATTTATTTATTTATTTATTTATTTATTTATTTAT